ATTTTATTCCGAATATTTCTAAGTCCTTGCCTTCAGGGTACGTATAACTGTTCCCCCTTCAGAATTCAGTTTATGAATAATGAATGATTATATTTTGCCCCTTGTGTATACAGCAGAGTTGTGGGTGTACTCTTTACTCTGTAAAGCCGAATGATAACTATACACTAGCTGCTTTAACAATCAGTAATGCTGCATTTTGTGTTTATGGGTTTCGTATCCTCCTTAAAAATTATTTATACGAGCTTGAATTTCGAAGGGTTAAAGAAGTAGGACTTCATATTCTTAATACATTTTCTACCTTGTAGTAGCATAAGAATAACACTACAAACTGATTACTTTTATCCCTGTACTAGCATTTATTTGCAGTTCGTGATGCCAAATGCGTTTCAGTCGTATGGGGTCATAATCGATGTGTATATTTAATTTCATCTTACATAATAAAACCTAGAGCCATGAAATTTAAAAATTTACAAACGAGTAATATTATCAAAAGACTTGTGTATATAATATATTGTGTAAATTTCAGTTAGTGTTGAATTGGCAGTCCCTGTATCGAAATGTCCTGCAACAGTTTAGGTGTTTGGATATTCTTTCCGTTTTACGGCACTTGCTATATTAGTTGTTGATGTGGTCACTTGTATCATCGGTTGCAGTCGCCGAGTTTCACAATCTGTTGTGCAGTGGATGGCTGATTTACGTGTTTATAGTGTCTTCTTGTTTTACTATAGTAGCAGATGTTCTGCATATTTGGAATATTTATATACTGTAACCAGCTTCAATCTTGGCAACTCGCTTGGTTTCATAATATTGAGACTGTGTGTGTTAACAAGATTTAACATAACTAATAAGTTATTGGAAATGGCAATAGCCTGTAGACATTAGTATTATTAGTTAAAGTGGTTGTTCGGTGTAAGGTGGACCCGGTTCAACCGCTAGAACACTTAACGTCTGGATTTCTGGCCTCCTCGGGGGGTGGCTGTATGTCCGTTTGTTTGTGTCCGAACTTGACATTGGTTTAATCCGTGAGAGATGCGTTAGTAGGTAACAGATGAAAAACGTCAAGATATTAACTGGAAACAGGGACTGTACGCACCGTATAGAACTGAAATGGCGTGGCGCATAATGAAACACAAGGGCATTATTTTACCAAACTGTCTGCAAATCTAATTTTACCATCGTATCAGTCGTTCACAATTAAGTTTAACAAACCATTTAATACATTTATAAATATAGAAATGTAATCAATTGTTCATTGAACAAGATGTGAAGACGAAAACCAAATTTTTATGCTGCATTTGGTTCTGCTGATAAAATATAAATGGTAACAGATGACTCATGCATCGTAAGACCTGCATTACACGTGCAAGAAATTTAGGAAAACGGGCAGAAGTCAGTTTCAAGACAGCAAAGGAACATCAGTCATCAAGATGTAATATTAATGAGTCATCGCCCTGATGATGGAAGCAGCAAGGTCTTCTGAAACTTCGGTAAACTTCTATCAGACGACACCTTCAGACTCACCGCCTTGAAAACCTCAAATTCTCTTTAGTAGTAACGTTTATATTGTATTCGGCTGCCCGAGTTTGAATATGAGCTGAGTACCACGTACCCTAACTGATTTGTGTGATTTCCTGTGTGTAAATGTTTGAGTAGAACGTCTTAGTAATCCACGAATTTTTACTTCATCACACTCGGTGAACTGCGAAACTTGCAACGAGATTCTTGAGTCAAACAACGAAAAATAGCCTCTACGTGGCCCTGCGATGTCTACTATATGTCACAAGACATTACGCTTAAGTGTGAAAGCTTGCACTCAACACTGATTAGCACCTTTTTGCTCCCAAATCCTGGGCAGGGTCTCGTCACAGAGGGCGGCCGTCGGCTTCGTTTAAAATACAAGGGGCACCTCAGTTTCTATACATATTGGGGAAGCATCACGCAAAGGGACCATCTGCAGTTTACACGCACTTAAACATAGACTCACACGCCATAATGATGCTTTCCGAATAATAGATACTACACGGCGTGACCTGGGCTCGTCCCTGCAGTGCCCCATTCCAGAAAACGGTTGGTTCCTCGCATTCACTGAAATACAATTTATTACTAGCGAATGCTGAGTTCCTCGCCCGGATTTTCTTAAAGTAAAGTACTGTAATAATGAAATTACTTATTCATTATGACGATTTTATGAGTACATTTTCCTGTTGGTAGTTCATCGCTTGCGGATTTCTTAGTGTGTGTTGAAATAGCAAGAAATAAAAGTTAAACAACGAAAAATCTGTGAAAATGGACCGGGTTTACATTAATACCGGCTGTGCAAACCAAAAATAGAATCAGAGATGGAGAAGTAGGAAAATCGACGAAGCATTTTATGTAGGCCTATGTAAGCCTGCTTTAAATCGCATTACTTAACGGGTTTATCTTATTTATATCATTCAGACTACATAAATTAAACTTTACATATAACGTCTCGTTTTATTTTGAATGTATTTTGTAAGTATGTATAGCCAGATATGAAATATGTGTCCTGTCTTAAATTATACACAATTTTGACATATTTCTTGTATTTCAGGTGAGTGCGATGTTACCTGTACGGATATCACTAAACTGCGTGTTGTGGAAATAGTAGTCTGGGATGAGGTAAGCGATGAGTTGAATTCATTAAGATACAGAAAGCCACCGATTTTATGAGCTTTTTATTTATAGTAGACCCTGTTTATATAAAATGAAATCAGAATTCAGCTCTAATCATCGCAAACTCTTCTAGCTTGCGAACGCTGTGAACGAATAGGCCTGTACCACAGATTTGCCCTTTGTGATAAATAAGCTTTATATTTCGCTTATTTTGGCTGATAGACACGAATTTTTTGTTCAAGATTTTTAGCTACATTGTACTCTTTCGCTCAGTGACTTATAAATGAAAATTGAAAGGAATGTAGGTAATGAACTTTATTGTTTAGGCCATTGTGACGTAAAAATACATCATAAACGTATTTGTTCCTCCATATTGTGAAGGTTATCTTTCGTCAAACATTTATTTAACTTAATTGCGTTTGTTGATAATTTAAAGTCGGTTACCTAGAATTTTGTATAACTCCTGTTTTTTAACGTAATCGTAACTTTTTCGAAGGATCTAGCTGTAAGTAATTAATGTACACAAATTTAATTGCTTGCGTTTTGGTACCGTATTTTAAGTCTACTTAATGACAGCCTTTAGTTTCTAACAAAACGTTGAAAGTAAAGTGTACGTCCATTCCCTCGCCTCTGCGTAAAACTCAATGGCCTGATTGTTCGAAAAGAACGCAATGAGGCATTGGGAAATTTCTTGCGATCTTAAGTGTGGCCCCTCCCGCCTAGGAGCTTACGGTAGAACCTTTTATTGCATGCTCCATTAGTCAATTACTGCTACGTATTTCTCTTCCTCTTTGCATGCATTACTGGCTAGTGACGTGCACTTAAAAACCAGCGAAGTAGAAGACGTAAAAAATGTTTTCTCCAGGAAATAGGTTCTGTTAAAGCTATTTTGCCTACAGTGGGCCGTATTTGTGTCGTGTACTGGGGTCTAATGGCAGGTGGGTTTTGTATGAGGTGCTTGCACACACTTCGTCTTCGTATAAGTAATTGTGACAAGATGTGAAAGAAGGGAGCTTCACTACTTCGCCTGCCGTCCTTTACGACATCTGGCACGATATTGTGCTCTACTGTTCTTTGGAGGCGCTGTTTATTTATTGTTCGCTTTAGGATTTGTCTATTGAAAATAATTATCTCGGTCCATTAATTTCGTAAAGCCGAAATAGTATAAGTAGTCCCTACGTAATATCTATATAATAAAATGCTCTGTTTGTTAGCCTTTCTTAAGGAAGAAATTGTGCTTAGGTCCCATGAGATCACCCACTACGCTTTCTCCTGACTTTAAACATGTGTATTCCTGGTCAACAAGACATGGCGCGTCCTCAGATTTCGAATGTGAGAGACGGTCTCTAGATTTGGAGGGTATCTGCGAATATATTTAACAAGCAGTCGCGGACAGCCAACAAGGGATGATCCTCAAGCTTGATTGTTGGTTAGGGGACTAACGGCTCACCACAGCAAATAATCCGGCGTATAACAAAATGTTATACACAGGCCTCGGACATGTGCGAATTTTTTAAAGAAGCTGAGCCCCGGTAAATGGTCACAGGGTCAGGAGGTCTAGGTCAGTTTGAGTACAGTAACAAGATAATTAGCAAAATGCAAGCTGTTGGTTACTTTTAGTGGGAATACAGGAGGTCAGACCGACAAGGGTGGCACTGAGCCAGTAGGCGACTGTATATTTTTTTATTGGAAATGGCTTGCCGAATATTAATTCGAGACAGAGGTCTTCACACGTAACGGAATTATATCAGCGGTTGAGACGCCATAGTTCTTTGTGATGGGAGCGTAACCTGTATAACACAAAGAGGTCGTTTTATAATATTAAATTCTGAATGCACATGTCTTAATTGAGGTTGAAGCCCTGAAGATCGAACAGTATGTTTCTGCGAAACGTTGGTGTCTAACTACAAGTCCACACGGCGTTACAACCCAGAGGACCAGCGTCGACAATTAATGGCAATAGTAAGACAAATTTGTGAAATACTTAACATTTCAAGCCATATAAGAAGTTCTAACTCAAATATTATTCCATCCAACTATCATCTTCGCATAATCCCACCACGCTGATCCATGTGTTAAAAATTGAATTTTATTTGTTGCGTTCTAAACTTCATTTACCGGTACCTAAAATTAAATAGCAGTGCACAAGGTTTGAAAAACTGCCAAGTATGTGCAACAGGAAAGCAGGCTTTATGAATTCTACCCGGAACTCCTTTCTTTAACTATTACGGCCGCAATTTAAGGAACGTTTCCCCCCAAAGTATACCATTTTAGTTGCCTCTCATCATTATCACGTTGTCATGTTAATCAGAAGAATTGATAAAATAATATTGAATGATTGTCGAACGCTGAAATTAATACATCTTCTCGCTCTTGTCTCTATGATTTGGAACTTCATAGCTGTAAAGGTTAACAACACAATCGAAGAATAATAATTTTCATTTTTTCTTCAGTTGTCAAGTTATAGCTGTAAAGGTTAACAACACAATTGAAGAATAATCATTTTCATTTTTTCTTCAGTTGTCAAGTAGTAGGCGGTGTGACCTATTCTGATTAGTTATGTGGCAGTGGTCGGTCATGAGACGCGCTGTAATCCCGTGTGCTTTGTGTACCCAGCGTTGTACTTGCTGTCCTGCTGTCTCGTGGATGCTTCACGTTAGCGCATTATGATTTATACATAATAGCATTTTCCCCGAAGAACACCTAGATTGTCTTATTATTTATTTAAGCTATGCGCAGACTTTTCTTCTTCCCCTTCCATGCCTTTCGTTTCCATGTGCTCCCGTTCCTCGTCGTGCTTGTGCCTCCCTCTCTCCCTCACCCCCACAAACTCATAAAATTCCAGCACTTGACATTATTACTTGAATTAATGCTTGGACCATGGCTCTTGGAAAAGAATGAAACGAAGGAAACAGAGTGAGAAGGAAGGACTTGGGAAAAAATTTATTTTCGCCTTTTTTTTTCTTTGTACGGTGTCTCCATTTCCTTCTTTTAGTCCCTCCACCCCTTCTTAATTTTTTTCTTTTGTTCTCCCCCCAAGGTGAAATATTTGTTCGCTGCATGTGACGTGTTACGAAGGTTGGCCATTATTGTCTTCTGGATATGCTCCCATTTTGAATTGTTCTTGTGCTTTTATTTTCGCTCATGAGACGTTTTCATTTTATGACTGCCAACCCTTGGTTTAGCCTGGCTAATTGTGGCAACGGTATCGTCATTCGTCTTCATGATTAATTTCCAAGAATAATTAAATTTCAAAAAATGACGTCTTTAATTGCAGTGTGTCTAGTCTCGTTCTTATGTGAAGCCTTGTTAGCTATGTACTCCAAAATAATTAAAACTCCTGGACTAAAGCAGCACTTACAAGTTTTTCAATTTTGTGTCTGTGTGTGTGTGTGTTTTTCTTTATTTTTTAAAAAACTAATTTCGAATTTTTATTCAACCTTAGTTGTTATCTCAATTTGCGCTGTTCGTCGTAGGTTATATTTTTAGTGTACTGACTTACCTTGCATCCTTTTAGTTTACATTGCGTTGTCCTGCTGTTTTGCAACCGAAGTTGATCATTTGAAATATGAACCGCAGTAGAAACATTCACAAAGTTAGTTACATGCGGTTACTGAAGAATACTGAAGGGCGCTTTAGGATAACCAACTCCTTCACTGGTCTTTAGGCGTCATTTAAGAGAAGCTGAAAGAAATAAGTACAAATATTAATCTACTAACTTCCCATAGAATTAAAAAATATTTTAATAAAACAATATTATTATTATTATAATAATAATTATTTGGGACGGAGGTTAATTTTATTTCGACATTTTATTATTTTATTGTTGTACACACTGCTTTGTTTCCTTGTATTCATTTCTCCTGAGAATATAGTGTGGGCTTAACGTTTCCTATAAGAGTTCTGCTGTGTATACCCATGCAAGTAGTTTGAAAATAAATTACCTTGATTAAATAACGATGGATAAGTCGGGACTCAAAACAAATTATAACATAGTGCTAATAGTTATTAATATCAATACGTAAATATTTGAACTACTATGACAACGATCTCGTTGAATTATCGCTTAATGAAACAAAGTTTTTAAAAATATTAGGTGTATTAATGATGTATGTGTGTATCTTGTCTGTCATCCTTGCGATAGCAGGGTTTGTTTCAAAACGAAGAGTGAATAAACTCCTTCGGTTCTTTCTTCTGATTTTAATTGTACCAGACTGCACATAGTAAGGCGGCTAACCGAGCCGAGAGATAGAGACAGAGTTACTATAAGTTCTGCGTTGCATGCATCAACTGTGCTCTCTTTGCAGCATCGTGAACGGGTCCACCACTGTCTCCTTCTTGTCCGAAATACTCAATCGCTTCAAACTTTAAATCCATGGCTTTCTGACGCGTGTTCATCTGTCCTTCAATTCCCAGTATTAAAATAAGACGTAGTTAAAACGAACACTTCTGCGACTACTTCAGAAAGACAATTTTAAAAATATAAATCATTACCTCCAGAGTGATTTTGAGTAGCGACTGACTAACGTTAGTCATGTGACCATCTTTGCTACTGCAACCCACGACATTACGTGAAGGCTGGTAATGACTACAGCATATCACAGGTTCGGAACTCCTTAAGGAAGATGAGAATCCTCTCTCACTGAAGTGGCATAGGTGTAATGCGGTTCTACCGAGAGACTCGAAGGCGAAGTAAAATATAGGCCTAGGCGTAACTTCCTGTTTTAACGACTAGACGTTCAGTAGAACACGATAGCCACCCACTGGGCTGGCAGAAATTAGAAGTTGTGCAATGTATGAGGTGGGTGTATGGAATTGCCAGCCTTCCTAGCTATGCCAGCAACAAGCAACGTGTGCCATGTACAGATTCTAACACATAATCAAAACAACAGGCGGTCAATATCCTTGTATAGAACAGCTTAATAAAGCAAGCGATTATAGTGTTGGCTATCTGGATTATAGGCGCCCCGTGCTGCGTAGATGTAGGTACACGTAAAACTACTAAA